TGAATGGGAGATAACTCTTGATGACGATGATGATGATTTCCTCTCAGATAGGATAAACATTCGCATGCTGTGTGTTTGGCGCTAATGACGCGCGATAGATCAAATGACCATTCTTGTGATGATGATGATCTACTATCCCTATCATAATCATAATCGTGGTCATCATCATCATCATCACCTTGTGGTCGTGATGATGATGATGATGAATAGCCACTACTAGAGGGTGGAATGGGATCAAGACCTCCAACAACTAGGAAGTTATGGAACGCCTAAGAATATTACCATTGAAAGTAGCAGGCTACTAACAGGAGCAACAGCAGCAGCAGCAGCAGTTGATGATGATGATGTTGTTGTTGTAGATTGGTGTAATAATGGCTGATATTATATTACATGAGATTCCACATATTCGATATTGGCAAGCTTCGCTAATGCACTGGCTGATATGCTTTCATCTCTACGACAACAACAACAACAATGGTGATCATCATCATCATCATCATCATCATCATCATCATCGTGTTGTTGTTGTAAGTGTAAGGAAGCCCATGTTTCCATAGAGTACCTAATGAATGATTATGACACCATCGTACTACTACTAGGAGTAGTAGTAGTAGTAGTAGTAGTAGTAGTAGTAGGTGATAGTGGTGGCGGGGGCGGTAGCCCTACAATGCTATAATGGCTTGTTTAGCTGGTATTCTAAACGTCGAGATCACATCATTAAGCCGCCGTCTATTTGACGAATCATCGTTATCATCATCATTATCGATCATAGAGTCATCAGTGATGTTGTATAATGGATCCATGTATGCATGCAATGATGATGATGATGATGATGATCGTTCTCGTCGGAACTGTTGTTGTTGTAAATACGTGTCCGTATACCAGGAGGTCAAGACCTCATTATTATCAACACCTGCATCATCATAATCATTATCAACTTGATGATTATAATGTTGTAGAGGACAGCAACAACAGCAGCATAATGATGATGATAATCACAGATTTGAGCTTCATGACTACTACTACTACTACCTTGTAGAGTAATGAGTGCTGTAGCTACTATGTATTGTTTATCTAATTCTAGTGGTTTACCACGTATTCTTGTTATTATTGATGAATCATTAATATCAACTTCAATAGCATCACATAATTGTAGATAACCACCTGTCCCTTTACAACGTCTCCTCGAATATTTAACAGCATCTCTAATTATATAACCAGCCATTGATACGCTTACTACATCATCATTATATGGTATTTCACATCTGACCATGATAATAATAATAATGAGGAGGAGGAGGAGGAGGAGGTCATGCTAATGATGCTAGTCGGTGTTATTATTATTATTACTTCAAATCATGATAACTGAAATCCATCCCTGCCTGTTTATGGTGATGATGATGATCTCCACCTTCTTGTGTATCATCATCATCATCTACTATTGTCGTTGTTGGATATACATAAGCACGTCGTATAGCTCCAGATGGGTAGATACAACAATCACATATCAATGGCGATGATGATGGTAGTATTTCTGCTGAGTAAGCAGTAGCATGATGATGATGATGATGCATGATGATATTATAGATAGATTTACCATCACGAATACTTGATGCTAGGAAAGTACCAATACTTGTTTGATGTAGTCTAATATTCTTAGATGATATAATAATACTGTCTATTCCATTAACACCACCACCACC